GGCTTAATAAGTAAATAAATATTCTTTAAATTGTATGTAAATAAGTATGTACGCGTACCTAGGTATGGCATAAAATAATATTGTTAGAAATAATTCGATTTTTTATGTATTTAAAGATTTTGTTACTTAATATTAACGTATTATCAACATATTTAAATCATGTTTTTACAATGGCATTTCAATTGTAGTCAGCTGTTCTTTCGCCCCGCTTGCGGCCGCCCAGGTTTCATGAATGAATTTGTGAAGTCGTAGTAACGTAACTAGCAATAGAGTTGTGACGCAGTGGTTGTTTCGGACAATCACTATTTATACAAACATAATTAAACTTATATCAACATTAAAAGTCACTTATTTTTATTTGATATTTTGCACACAGGGTCTAAATCAAGTGTACATTTGGGTCCTTTAATATGACCACACCTTTCTGTTACACCCGGTATACAATTCCGTGTGATGAATATACGTATGTTCCTTTATAAAAATTGGTTTGCAGCCATTTCTGGGTTGGATATTGTAGATTATGCGAATACACTTTTTTGTATAATGAAAAGGTCGGCGTCAATACTGTAGCCGTGATCCCATAACAAAATACCGTACCAGTAATAATGAGATAGATCTGAAGAAAAAGTTTGGAGTGGCGCAAAACATTACCTCCATGACTGAGCGTCCATGGTTCCTTTCCTCGCACTAAAGTAGAGAAGGCGGAGTATGCCAGTCCTCCGTACAAGCCTAGACTTGTGTGGAACGACGGCCTGCAGTTACGTACTTGCTGCAAGTTACACAAAAAGCATATAAATAAAACATTGTAATGTATTTTAATATTTAATTTAATTATTTATAATTTCACACACTGTCAACAGTCGCGATACGCCACGGGGGGAACTCTTTTACGCCTTACGTGGTTAATCTGCAGAACTTTCTATAAATATGATATTTATAAAAAGAATAATTCTTCTCTTTAATAATAAAAACTGTTCACCTACCTCTGCTAACTTAAAGAAAATACCAAGAAAAATATTATTTAAAAAAGTTCTACAGGCTAACTAGCGGATTCACCCTCATTTGTGTGAATATAAAAAAAAATTATAGCTATAACGCTCATTTAATATAATTTTCACTGGACTTAATACACTTTTTTCTATAAAGCTCTTTTCATATATCAATTTAGATAAATTTTATACTCTATAATGTGCTATATACAGATACTTTACACTTTGGCTTGCAGTATCAGGCTATTCGATCGTAAACATCCAAATATGATACACACCTTCAGCTCTTTGTAGACATAGGACTTCCGAAGTTGGTCCTCGTACTGTTTAGGAGTAATTCCCTTGTCATAGGTCGCCTCTCCCGAGATTATAAGGTCCATGGCGGTCTCAGCCGCCAGCATACCTAACCAAAATTGTCATTAACATTTTTATGTATTTTGTATAACTCAGATTATGATTAATGTATGAATGTTCGACGACCTCAGTGGTCAAAGTGGCATACACCTGTCGAATCCCGGCCGGGTCAATGTAGAAAAACTAACTTTTCTATATTGTCTCGGGTCTGGGTGTGTGCCTTCTGGGTGCCGTCGTTATTTCCGATTTTCATAACACAAGAGCTTTAGTTACTTACTATGGAATTAGAGCAACGTGTGATGTTGTCTAATATTTATGTATTATTTGCGTGCACAAGGAAATTTTAAATATAATATTGAATATAATTTGACGTTATTTTTTATGTAAATATCAATAATTACTAAAAATGCGATTAGCTTTGCAAAGTTTCTATTTATACAATAATAAAAAGTCGATTAGATTTGCCGAGGTAACATAACTCTTATATTCAAGTGATGATAGCTATCATTGTATGTACCTACTCTACGTGAAAATACCTAGTAATTTCTTTTTGGATCATATTAAAAAAGTTCATAATAAAAAACATGTGAAATTCGTTAAAAACTCTGTCTCTTTTTGGCCAATAACTGTTGATTTCTTTAATACCTGTACTATTTTTAATCGACTTCAAAAAAGGGAGGTTCTCAATTCGGCTGCATTTTTTTGTACGCATGTTACGGGATTACTCCGACGATTTCGATGATTTTTTTTTTGTTTGAAAGGGATTATTGAATTTCACCCACCTTCAGTCAACTGATGTCATTAAAACTTAGCAAATGCATGTAATTCCACAAACATTTGAGGTCGGTTTGTTTCACAAAAAAAATATAATTATGTTTTACAATAAATTATGTTTATTTTTTGATGCTAATAACAAGCTTTCAATTACCGTTACTTACCATATACCATACTATACAAAAAATACAAACAACTTACCGCTCTTCATAGCATTATGGGTGCCCTTTATTCGCGGTACGTTCACGAAGCCGGCCGAGTCGCCGGCGAGGCAGCCGCCTGGGAACACCGTCACAGGCAGGCACTGCCAGCCGCCTTCTACTAGGGCTCGAGCACCGTATGCAATGCGAGTGCCACCTGCAAACGAAGCATATAAGTGACTGAGAAATTATTCGTATTTATCTTCAAATTGATTTAATCAATCATCATCATAATTTCAGCCGAAAGACATCCACTGCTGGATATAGGCATCCCCTAAAGTCGCAATAACTACCGTTCTTGCGCTGCTTGCATACAAGGGATTTCCGCAACCATCCCCAGGCCATCGGTTCACCTAGTAGGTGATCTGCCCACGGTACGTCATAAGATCGACTCATCCGAACAACAGAGTCCGATGTGATTATATAGCAAAAAGAGAATCAGTACGTTACGAGAATAATTTCCTCATTCAAACTAAGGCCTACGTAAAGGTGTTTTGAGAATTTATATATCTAATTTCATTTCGGATATATAAAATCGCACAACAGTCGATCTGACATCCACAGCGAAGAAGAACGAACGAAATGTACTATGTCCTGAGAACAAGTATGTAGTCTTGCACATAGATCTTTGTTCTAGGGATGAGTCGTGCTACGCAGTCACGTCAATATTGACACTTAAAATAAAAATTAGACTCTCTCGGTCCAAAGATCCAAAGTTCAGTGTTCAGTTCAAATATAATGTGATCTTGACTGTATCATTACTATTCATCATCAGGGCACTGTATGCTCAGGTTTCAAACAGTTCTAGAAAACCATCGCAATCGCAGTATACCAACTTCCCAACAAAAACCAGCTCATTACAACATACCATACCCACTCCCTAGCATCGCAATGTCTATAGGTGACCACTTTCCATATTAAAGTGAACCGGTCAGATAGTTTACGAATTACGATACCATAAAAAAATTAACACATACCTTCAAACATTGGTCGAATATAAGGATGCAACTTAAACTTTTGGAATTCTTTAAAAGGACTCAAGTAAGGATTGACATAATCGAGTCCTACCACGAAGCCAACAGCCACCAACGGTGGTTCACCCTCTGGTACTGCCAAGTGGTATATAAACGACCCTCCGTATGTGTTTTTGTCGAGAGGCCAGCCTATTGTGTGTTCTACTAGACCAGGCTTGTGGTTCTGGAACAAAAATTAGTCCATCAGAGAGTTAGCTAACGCTTTGTAATCTTCTTTTAGGAACTAGTCTGCACAAACCCGTTTAGCTCTTTTAGTTTAGTCGTTTAGTATAGGTCGTCACAAATATAAACATCAGAGTCGCCACGCCAAGAAGAAGAATGTATACAAAAGTTTATTTACAACATATTTACAAAGACCAACCCCTAGAGTTTCTTTATCATCTGCCTCTGTGGCCGAACGGTAACCATGCCGGACTGCCACGCAGAGGTCCCAGGTTCGATTCCCGGGCCGGGAGAAATATTTGTATGGCCTAAATTTATTTCTCTCGTGAGTTTGGGTGAATTTGTGGTTGTCTATATGTGTGTCCATTGCACCCGCGACACAGGGTTTCCCTAGTGCGGAGCTATGCTGAGTGTGTGCGTTATTATTATTATTCTACTCAGGGGAATCTGCCTTACGAATGAATAATCGAGTTTAATTAATGGACAATATCAAGTGTAATTTGTTTAAACGATTATTTGAGTTTAAAATATAAGTTTGAGTTTGCAAGAAATTACACGACGACCTCTGGGCGACTACAAATGCGTAAAATTAAAGAGAGAGGCTTATGAATTTCAGGGAGTCAAATGTCCCGGAATTGATGACATGCATATCCCATGCTGGAAAAAGCCCGGGACATAACGGAAGGCATCTCCCGTGTTGGAAGATTCCTAGACATAACGACATGCATCTTCCTTGTTGGATACGAGCACTGGACATAACGGAAGGCATATCACGAGTTGGGTTGCTCCGGTCATAATGGTTCGCAATAAATTAGCATCTTCCTTGTCCCCGACAAAAAGAGCTTCGGACAAAAATGCATGCAAAAGACGCATGTATCTTATGATTACATATTACGCCCATGGTATTAACAAACATACCACATTAACAACTAAAATTCATAAACAAAATTAATTTGTATATTCATTCAACATTCAACAAGTCCCTTGTATTTTATTATACTTCCTTGCAAGACATACAAACATTAAATAACGTGTTTAAAAATCTTACCTCAGGTTTGACTTCCCAAATTTCCTTCAACCCAATACCGTAAGACTGAGGTTCACTCTTTTCTCTGAGATTGTATTTCTTGGACACCATTTTCGTAAGATGTCCGTGGCATCCTATAATCAAAACGTAAGAAAGTTTCGTGAAGTACTCAAAGGTACGCCTTTGAAATACCCTGAGCATACTATCGATCGAAAGTGGTGACTTATTCTGTGAGAACGGAACGTAAGAGTGATGCTTGAAAGGGAAGGATAGCAGGGAAAGAGTGAGGGAACAAGAGAGAAAAAGGCAATAAGATTATTAAGACTTTATCAAGGATTATTAAGGTTTTTTTTTGTTTTTTATAACATCAAGTGACGGGACGAACTAGTCGTGCGCCTAATGGTAAGCTTGCCCACAGTTGCAGTGCCACTCAGAGCTTTAAATCGCAAAGATCTGAGGGGCACTATCACTGCGCCCGTCACCCTGAGACATAAGTTGACAAATCCTATGTGCCTGTAATTTCACCAGCACCCTTACCCTTCAAAACCGGAACACAGTAATGCTGACATTACTGCTTGGCGGCAGAAGTAGGTAAAATGGCAGTACTACCCTGAACGAGCTCGTTCAGGAGCTCTACTGCTACTAAGGTGCGTACAGATCCGGCGAATACACCTATTTGCTAAAGGCTCGCGAGCTGCACTTAGAAGTGCACTGAACTGTGCGCGCGCGCAGCGCACATGCAGCGCAAGAGCACTCTGACATTCCGTACCCTTAAACAGAGTTTTTTTTAATGGGACAGTGTAGGAAAATCCGATACCATAGAAGATACAATGAAACTGTCTTAGGAACCGTTAAGTCTTTTTTTGTGAAAAATAATTTTGGCATAGTCAATTTTTAGATCAAGCTTGAGGTGTCCTTAAAAATTTTTTTAGTGCTAATCGACTCAGTTTCATGCTCTCTCTTAGTTACAGCGTCATTTCATTGCATGGGACAAAAAAATCGGGTCAGCTGAAGTTGGTAAAATTTCATAAAATATTTTTCGCACAAAATGAATGAAATTTACTATTTTTTTTTTTATGTTAATAGACTCAGTTTCTTATAAGTATGATTTCATTGTATGGAAAGAAAAAATCGTGAAAGCAGAACTTGGTCAAATTCAAAGGTTTTAGCGTGCGCCAAACTGAACGAAAAATACACACCGATAAAGACGAGTTTACAATATATGTATAAACTTGTCGTATTTGCATTTTACAAATTGTAAATTCGACTTTACATACACGGACATTGTGTTTAATTTGCGTTAAAACACTTACAGCTTCAAAACCATACCTTCGGCGAAAATAGTAATCTTGGAATGGAACTCCATCCCCCGCTCGAACGTATCCTTGGGGCTGCCATCCTTTGCGATACCCACGTCACCTGTGGCCACACCCTTCAGTGACCCATCGTCACGGAATAGAAGTTCTGCGCCTGCGCATCCCGGCCATACCTTCAATTTATTTCTTTTTTTAATTACAAAGAAACAGTATCTATCTGTTTGTATCCAAATGTTTCACCAAAACATAGAAATTGACAATTGACAACTCGTTTTGCGTGCGTGCGTGCGTGCGTGCGTGCGTGAGTGAGTGAGTGAGTTAGTGAGTGAGTGAGTGAGTGAGTGAGTGAGTGAGCGAGTGAGTGAGTGCGTGAGTGAGTGAATTAGTGAGTGAGTGAGTGGGAAGTGAGTAAGGAATGTTAATTGAAAAGTGCATTTACTTGAAAAGCCGAGTCCGCCATCTTGGATTTAGAAATAAATGCTATTTTCGTAATGAGCACCCCCAAATACCTCAAAAACGATAACCAACTTGCCATTATTTGAAAAGTCGTGCCCGCCATCCTGGATTTAGAAAGGAGTGCCATATTCGTTACGAGAGCACCCCAAATATTTCCCACGCTATATTCGACCACAGAGGCACTCACTCACTCACTCTCCATTATTTGAAATATTTTTTTTCGCTCTCGTTCCATTAATTCTTGTCTTAGAAAAGCAGTGATAATCAAAACACCCTCGCGCACTGCACGCATGGTAGAAACGGCTGGCACAAAAACTCGAAATACGATTTTTTGCTTTCAAGTTCTGTTTACACGGAGACGTTCAACATGTAAAGGCGAGGCGATTATCGCTCACATGGAAGGGCGATAATCGCGAATGTTTAGACTAGGAAAGTTTTTTATATTCTTTCGATAATCGCATCTTCTAGATCTTCTAGACGAGAAACTCTCTCCATCTAAATGGTCCTTTAGAGGTGGAATATTTTCCTCAGATTTCAATGGGTCCACTACTAAGGTACCCAAAAAAAGAATCATTAAAATCGGTTCACAAATGCCGGGAGTTATCGCGTAACATACATACAAAAAAAACAGTCGGATTGAGAACCTCCTTCGTTGTTTTGAAGTCGGTTAACAACATCACTAACGTTGCTCAGATCCCGAAGTAACTAAAGCACTTGTGGAAATCAGATACAACGACGGTACCACAAACACCCAGACCCGAGACAATATCGAAAGATAGTTTTTCTACATTGACCCGGCCAAGGATGCCAGAAATGGCGACACCATAAAAACCGGTGTGCAAGCCACTAGACCACGAAGGTCGACAAATCATTATTGCATGATCTATTGATAGCTAACCTCAGCACCAGCGGCCTCTGCCTGTTCTCCCAACCACCTCACGAGATGACCTAATCGCACCACGTAGTTGCCGTGGTTGTAGTTAGGTAGACCTGGAAAAACAAACTGCTGAATACATAGCAACACATCTAGAAAAATTAATACAGTGATTTTTTCAATAATTGCTTCGATTCTTTGATGAACTTTCCATTTTATTTAAATTTATTACATAGGGCCATTGACCTACTTGTAAGTCAATGGACGGGACGAACAAATCGTGCGTCTGGTGGTAAGCTACATGCCTGTTCATAACAGTTGCAGTGCCACTCAGAGCTTCGCAAAGATCTGAGGGGCACTGCCACTGCGCCCGTCACCCTGAAACTTAACTTGACAAGTCACATGTGCCTGTAATTTCACCAGCACCCTAACGCTTCAAGACTGGAACACTATAATGCTGACATTACGGCTTGGCGGCAGAAATAGGTAAGGTGGCAGTATTTCCCTGGACGAACTCTGTCACAAGCAGCTCTACTGCTACTAAAATGTGTACTGTATCAACACATAAACCTATGTCCCACCGCTGTAGGGCTAGCACGCTGGGGCACGACTAGCGCGAGAGCGACATAAAGCGCGAGATACTGCTATACTTGCACAGAGATCTCAGGCTTTATGACGCTATCGCGCAAGTCGCGCCATATCGTGCTAGCCCTACTGGTCGCAAAACTATACGAGTGCATAAAGTAAATCATCTCGATGGCCAGTTTGAGTTCAAACATTTTGGATAATAAAATATAAACTACAGTGAAACTAACCACGAAACACAGGAAGAGGTATTCTCCCACTCTTTGTGAGGAGACCAAACTTGTCAGATGTAACCGGGGTGTTCATAGGCGCACCCTTCTCTTTCCAGTCGGGTATGAGTTCATTCAAGGCGATAGGGTCTACGCATGCTCCTGATAGAATATGACCACCGGTTTCTGCTGCTTTTTCTAGAAGGGTTACCCTTACTTCCTGCAACAGAAGAACCCGCGCGTAAAGGACCTGATAGTGGAATTGTAAACGTTTTCAATTTATACCTTAAACAATTGACTTTCAAGTATTTAAAATAATAATAATAATAATAACAACAACATTATTACAAAAATAACAACCAGGGAATGGATCACACAAATTACACCCAAACTCATGAGAGATATAAATATCGGCCATACAAACATACCTCCCGGTCCAGGAATCGAACCCAGGACCTCTATGTGGCAGACCAGCATGGTAACCATTCGGCTATGAAGGCAGTTATAGGCAGTCCCTGAATATGGGACTTGCACTTTATCTGTCTTTTGTTTATTCAACATTGCAAATGATGTTGAGATGCAAAAGACAAAACAATGAATTGATGCAATTTCTTATTTGCTAGCAAACTAGACAATAGAGCTTAGGGTATAAATCATTAAAATTTATAATAATAAAATTGTTATAAAGCTCTAATTGATCCACAATAAAAATGTACTCAATAATGGAGTTTTGTAATGGAGTTGAGTTTTTTATTACAGTGAGACATTGCTTTCCACTTGGTTACCATTGCAACAATGCAAGGTCAAGTTAAGTGAGATCAGAGACCGTACTGCAATAAAAAGTTTCTGCACCTCCTTAGCCAAAGTTGCCATCGGATAGGCCCGTAAAATTAATTCCAGGGTCATTACAAACCCTGGGCAGTATAGATAAAAACAATTAGAACTATACAAATTATACATTTCATAATTAGTGGTGATTCATAATTAGTGGTGATCACTACACAACCACGTAACTCTACAGTGGATTAAAGAACACAGCGGCTCACGTGGCAATGACGCAGCAGATGAATTAGCCAAAAAAGGATTGGAGACGGACGCTGTAGGACCAGAACCCATAGTGTCCCTCCCCTACCAGTGGTCAAGAACAAATATACACAAAGGTACAAAATCTTTTCATAATAACACATGGACAACTCTTACGGTTTGTAGACAGGCGAGGGAAGCACTCCCGACCCTCAACGCCAGTCGATCTCGAAAATTAATCAAACTTAAAAGACAAGAGCTTCGCACTCCAACTGCCACCCTAACGGGTTATGGTCCATACAATAAACACCTTTTTAATTTAGGTATCACGGACAGCCCTCTATGCAGAGCATGCATGGAGGGGAAGGAAACGGCCGCGCACATCCTACTACAGTGCTCCGGCGTGGCCAACTACAGGGCGAAGTACTTCGGAGTGCCGAGGTAGCTCCCCGAAGTCTTCACCAAACCGAGGAGGTTGCTGAGATTCTTGGAGGGGCTTGGGTAGCACGAGTAGGACCCTGCACCCACCACACGCAAAATAGGCGCTTTGTCGTTGATTTGCACCAGCCCGTTGCACCAAGTTTTGGTGATCACAATAAAACAATTGCTGATTGCAACGAGGGCACTACAGACCCTATAAAACCACTCTAATGTTAACAACATAAGGACATATTATATTTTTTTACATTTCATTTTTTTAGATTTCTTGATCCAATTAAACTAAGATATTCAGTAACTGAATATTTATTAAATCTTCAAGATGAAACCAATGTCATGAACATAAACGAGTTGACTGGTTTAGTCTGTAATGTTCTTATTACCACGGGTTGTGACTCATTTTATTATTGGTATTCTTTTCTTTACTAATTTTAATTTCATTTGTGATCACTCTTTAATATAAACAGATTTGAGCTATCATTTTAACGTGATTTGGAATGTACTTTATAAAGCTTCCCTCCCTTAGTCACCCAGCTAATTGTGTTTGTTCATCATTTTTTTTTATAAATTTTAAATTATTCCATGTTAAGTGGCAATTAGTATTTCACTTGAACTTACAGCTCCCTTTTCTTCTGCGATCTGTCTGGCCCTGATCGCCGCAGCCATCCCGGCTGGACCTCCTCCAATAATGAGGATGTCTGTCTCCTCTGCCAACCGCTCCATACTTACATCTAAAAATAGACAATTTTACTTCTGTCAATATCTGCACTAGATGACACACAGGTACACTCAGTCACAGATTAAGCATTACAAACTGTTACTGTCTAAACATTTGATATGTTTTAATGTTAAGTAAATGACATAAGGTACAAATTTCAACAAAAATTTTTATTTTTTTATTAAAATTTTTATTACATACATTGTTATTAGGATGCGTACAGATAGCGAATACGCCGCGAATGTCCTGCATGTGTGCTTCACGCGAATTGCTCACTTGCATTTAATGCGCCCCTGTAAGGACATCTCACGCAAGACTCGCATAGTTCGCGCGAGCGGCACTCGCATAGTTCGCGCGAGCGGCACTCGAATAGATCGCACTACGTAACTGTAACTACGTTAGTCGTATAGTGCATGCGTTAAACAATCTTCACTCGCTAGAATGAGAACCTGGTTATCGTCGGCTCACTGCCAATCGCACGCGTTCCGCTCGCGGCAAGCTTGCAAACCACGTACATACAGTAGGACAACATGCAATGGTTAAGGTTACCACTCGATAGTGAGTACCCGGCTGCTCATTTGCAGTTCGCAAGCCTATCCGTAACAGGCGCATTCATGGAGCAACTGTATAAAAATGTAGTAAAAGTATATTTTAAATTTGAAACCAATGGCATTAAGTTATACTTCGCATCCCACAGTTGTGGAACATGGAGAGGCACAAAAAATCCTGTATTTTCATGATATCGGCTTCATAAAATAGAATTTTTCTCATGTTTAATCAATTTAATTCCCAGATGAGTCAAGCAACTTTTTAAGTCTTTGAAGGCAGTATTACTTCACTTTTAAAAAGTAATATCTGAATCAAGCAAAATATCTTATCTACAATATTTAAAGCACTTTCCTTCCATGTCCCATAACCATGGGACTCCCTGTATGTTTATTATGAAAGCTCTTAAAAACAATTGACATTGTCTTATATCAATTTATTGGTTTTGATTTGAGAGATGATGGCGTAAGAAACCATAAAAATAGACCATAAAATAAAAAGCAAGTAAGGCTCAAATCCCATGTTTGTCTATGATATCAAGTGGCGGAACAAACAAGTTGCGCGCTTGATGTTAAACAACACATCTGTCCAAAGCAGTTACAGTGCTACTTATAGCTTTACATTGCAAAGATCTGGGGGACACTGCTACTGCACCTGTCACCTTGAGACTTATTTTAACAAGTCCCATGTGTCCTTCAACTCCGGAATACAGTAATGCTCACATTACTGCTTAGTGGCAGAAATGGGTAAGGTGGCAATACTACCCTGGATGAACTCTTTCACAAGGAGCTCTACTGCTAAGAAAAGTTGCGTTTTTTACTAAAGTAACCCTAATAATACAAAAGTAATGAAAAAATTGTAAAAAAAATGACATGTTTTCAATTTCCACAATACTACAAAATAAACAACAGATAACATCTTGTTGCCAACGAAAATAATCAGCATTATGACATATGACTTACGTATAAGAATTATTTGATAACTAATTGCACAGATTACAGAATATAGAGATAACCTAGTAGCATGGGATATCAGACTTACCTTTCCATCTTGGATCGTTCTCTCGAGAGTGAATGGTGTAATGAGTGGTTATCTTCGGGTAAACATCCGAATAGAAGCGCCGAGCAGCGTTTGTTAGCCTCCCCACTGTAAAGAAAATAACAACAAATTGAAAACAAAATCAAAACAAATGACTATCAAACTGAACTTTGAACTTTTGTATTTTACTCCCAATTGCGTAACCATAAATTATTATAACTTCTTATACGAACATTTTACACCTGTAACCAATGCTAATTGATAATAAATCACTCACATAACACATAATATTCACAAAATTTAAGTTTTTCTTTGTAAACAGCTGATTTCTAAAGTCATACGAAACAACCTTAACTCTTTTACATTTCTGTTAAAACTGCTGTTATTAAATTGTTTAGAAGAATTGGTAACTATTTGCGTACAGAATTATAATGATTTCAGGCTATAAATATTCAAAAAAACAATTTATTTACCCTGGCGAGCCGAACTAACAAACGCAAACGCCATTTTTTTAATCAACTATGCTCCGTTTCACACAACACGCGGCACTGACTGAACAACGTCCTTGATATTTTATAAATTTTTTTTTTATTAACTTTATTTTTTACATCAGTCTTGTGATCACATTATTTTTTATTATTCAATCAGACAAGTTTATTGAGTATCAATTTATCTTCGTTTTGCGGAGTTAAAAGACTAACATGGAACGTATAAATGACATTTAGCGAGACAGTTAAGTTTTAAACATAGTTATTGGTTATTGTTTTAATCAGTCGTTAACACGTTACATAATTATAATTACATATTTTGTTCGAAAGAGGGAAGTTGGATCACCGTAACATATTTATTGCTGTATCACATTCATGTACCTCTGTGCTGAACATTCGTCTCCTTAATTAGGGTTTAACCTAAGCCTCATTCGACCACGAAATTCATTTATTAACTTTTATTGTACCTACTCCAATTGAATAAAAGACTAAACAATCGGGAGAAATTGAGTTGGACATTTGTACCATGAAAATTATACAACTTAACTTTTACTTTATATTACAAATATTTAGCTCATTACGAACGCCGATAGATGACATTAGCTAATTCGGCGTGATAATGAAGTATTCACGACATAAAATGACCATAATATATTACACATTTTTGATATAATATACAAAATAAACAATAAACTGACACATATTTCGTAAAGTAAAAGTAAGGCTGCTTTTATAGCACAATAAACGCGTCCATTTTGTCGGTCAGTTTTAGCCAGCGACTTTGTTGGTTATTGCTTGTCCACTACTCGTGGGGAGCCACTTGGTACTGCGACGTGCAAATGTTTTAAGGTCATAATATTTATTTCTCCCGTGTATTTAGCGAATTGCGTACCTAAACAAAGAGAAGAGCTATCAATCATCAACAAATGTAATTTGCTATACCAACATCTCCACACCGCCTAGCCAAAGCAAAGAAATATATTCGTGGACATATTTATTTAAAAAAGGTTGAATTATGATAACAACGCTCATAATGAACCACTGGAGTCGGAACCCTTAGTGGAACCAGTGGCCTTGGCCGGTATCCTTCATCTATACAAAATTTCATCCAAAAAATTAAAAGACTATCTGGGAATCCAAGGGCTACCTTGCCCAACGCATTAGCTATACAGAGGGCGTTGCCAGCATCTTGGGTATCTTGCCGCAGGGACCCAATTTTATTCATACAATTTAATCCTAGTTTTGGTTTCTAGTTTTTAAACTTTTGTTATTTCTTTCTTCCTTCCCATATTTTTATTTATTGTCTAATAAATAAAATTATTTAACCACTGGCTACATATTATTCTATATAGAACGTGTAATCGTAATCGAAAAACAATAAGTCATCTTTTTTAAATTTATATTATTTTAACTAAAACAATGGGCATGTGACCAGTATGCATAATGACCATTGTTATCATAATTCAACAATGTTTTAGCTTTTTTAACCGACTTCGAAAAAGGAGGAGGTTCTGAATTCGACTACTTATGTTTTTTTTCGTATATCTATTACGCGATATCTCGCCGCGGCGTTTACAAACCGATTTAGACGATTCTTCTTTTTTTGGAAAGGGGGTACCTCAAATGTGGTCTCATTTCACAACTATTTTTTGTTCCTCTTTGGCAGATAAAATTGGCCTTATGTTGGAGGACGTATTAACGTATGCTGAAAAGCATACGTTAATACTTATTAACCCACAATAATGGGAAATATATAACGTGCTGACCATTGCATGGTGCTGACCCACAAAAATCGAAAATTGAGACTTTAATAACAAATTATACCTTGTCGTCTTGTCTATATTTTACAAACATAAGCTAAGTCATTTTATATGTTTTTTTTTAATATTTGGAGATTTTAAATAATCTCCAAATATCAAAAAATTATATAAAAACAATTGACGAATCCACGAATCCAAACCACGAAAAAATCTTTAGACTCCAATTTCATTTAATTTAAGATTATGCATAGGAAATGAAAATATTTTTTATTATTAATAGTTTTTTATAATAAAATTCATTAGAATTAATTTTTTATTAAATAATTGCGTACGATTACTTCTCATTTTGACTGTGTTTTAAGTACCTAACAATACTGTTTTAGTACCTACGTTTTTCGAGTTGATAACGTCTTGTAATGTAACATTCAAAAGCGAGCATCACAGGCGATGAGGGATGTGAGCTGAGCATTCGCTGCGTAACATGCGTAGCCTCGTTCACCGGGAGCATTCGCCTGTAATGCAACAATCTGTTCAGATTGTAAGGCTGCGACTCGACCAGATATGGTGGAAATATTTTCAAGTCTTTACTTGAGTTAGGTGCCTGCGAGTGCTCGCGAGTGCCTTTGAGTGCATTTAAGTACCTTTGAGTGGAAGGCACTCGCGTGCTCTCAAGGTACGCGCTGGCACTCAAAAGCACTCGCGGGCACTCAAACGCACTCAAGACTCTCGCGAGCACTAAAAAACACTCAAAGGCACTCAAAACACTCAATGGCACTCGCGGGCACTATAAGGCACTCCAAGACACTCGAAGGCACTCAAACGCACTCAAAGGCACTCGAAGTCACTCAAAGGCAATCGTGGGCACTAAAAAGCACTCAGAGGCACTCAAGAAATTTCAACGCACTCAAAGGTAGTTAAAGGCACTCGCGGGCACTCAAAGGCACTCGCGGGCGCTCAAAGACATTCAACGGCACTCGCGGGCACTCAAAGGTATTCGCGGGTACTCCTGGCTTTCGCGGGCACTTAAAGGTACTCGCGGACACTCAAAGGCACTCCTGGCTCTCGCAGGCACTCAAAGGCACTCAGAGGCAGTCGCACGCACGTCTTGCTACAAATGTACAAAAAGGACCAACTTAGTAACTTGAAAAAAAAATCCATACAAAATGTTACACAGCTGATTAATATTGTGTGGAGACAATTTTTTAACAAACTACGCATTTAAATAATAATAAGCTTCACGCAAAAATACAGGCATTTACGGTACTTAAAAGGATTATTTTTATCACTGCGTATAGAAAAAGGGCATAACAAGCAATATACTACACGTACATGCTACTTAATTGTATCATTGTTCACAATTAAGCTTAGAAATATACTTTGTTTAACTAAATACATATACATAATAAAGCACGATTTAAAATATTTATCCACGTTTTTGGATAAATAACGAGTAAAAATGGATAAATATGAATATTTATCCATATTTATCTTTCTACTGAGTATTTATTCCAATGATATTTATCCATGACCCATCTCTAGAAATGACAGACAATGAAGATGTTCTGTGATAAAGATATGTTGATGGTTGACGACGTGGATTTAAGAGTCTAAAGAAAAATTACAATTAAAGTATTTTTTACTATTATTATAACAAAACTAGCCATGTTATCATTGTGTTGTTGCAAAAATAGCTACGTTAATTCTGAACAATTACAAAACTAATTATTTTAAGATTACTCCAAATTCCAAAACTCAATGTTCAGTTTTTAAATAGAAATAAAGTAAAAAGTTTAATACTGTGATTTTGTTTCTTCATATTGTTTATCTCTTTTTATCACACTTTTCAGATACTTAAAAAAGTACTATTTAATAATCTGTTTTCGGAACCGTTTTTTTAGTTTACAGCTTTATTTTTATCCACGCACATAACGCAGTTTGCTAATGCACTACTCTATTGTTTGCTGCTTGTTTAAGCTGTTGGCTCTATAGCCAATGTTCAACAAATAAATAAATAATTAGGTCATGTTGGTTGACAAGTTATTGCTTAACAGCATCCATTTAGGCGTTGTATTTCTGCCCGTTAGACAAACACGATTGCGCGGATATCTAGTAAAACAGCCATTAAAGTTTAATGTCTATTTATTTAAAAAAACCTTATGAATAAATTAAGAAGTAGTTTAAACATATTTTGTAAAATATATTTTTTAAACGCTCGGAGCTCTACTTGACGGGTTTCATCTGCCACAGTCCGTCGTTCAGGTAATGGCAGTTCTCTATTCCCACGCCTTTGTTCACCTTTGCTCTGAAAAAAATGCAGATAGAGATATACAAGTATTGCCTAAGATATTCGAACTTAAAATGTAAATTATGAATATTTAATTACTTTGCTTTAACAAACTAACTCATTAGCAGACCCTAAACTTTTCCACTAGTTTGTACTCCATGTCAAAACCACTCAAAATACAATACTTAATTACATATTTTTTATTGTGCACGAGCCGGCAAAACCACAGACTAAGATTTATAAAACGAACTTTGATTTCGTATTTAGAAAACAACTTTAATTAAAATAAACTTTAGAGTGGTTACACACGGCGACTTACAGCAGCGATGCAAACGCGCGATTGCATCGCTACACTTGGGATTTATAGGCGATTGCATCGATGCAAACGCGCGTTTGTATCGATGCAGTCGCGTTTGCTACGCGTTTTCATCGCTGCTTAAAATCGCGCGCGTGTGTAAAGGTAGACATTTAGTGACTGCATCGCGTCTGCATCGCTGCTATAAGTCGCAGTGTGTAACCGCTCTTAAGTATACTTCATAATTTCTTGCTTAAACTTAGGCCAAGTTTGTTTTGTAAAAACGAAAAACTTAGTAATCGAGGAAACAAAACGAAATCAATTCCAAAAAATCAACAGGAAGAAATAACCGTGCAAAAAGAAAAGCCGGGCTTTTGAAGTTAGGCAGTTTTTACTGGAATTAATCTTTAATTTAAGTAAATTACGTTTTGTGTTTCTTAATTATTTATTACTTTTTTTAGACTGATGACATATAATAACCAATGCTAAAATAACAAACAAAAATAATTAAAAATCCACAACATGGCCAATGTCAAAAATCGAACTTATCAACCATTATAAAAAACAACCATTCCTTACATATCGTTAGTAGAGAGAGCTGTACATCCAACAGCCAAGGCGTGCTCCTTTCCTTCAGCCATAACAGCGACGACTTGTCCCTTGTCCACTTGCGTCATTCTCGCCCCTGGTGACGTCAGACCAGGACACATGATGTTGGCACCACTGAGTACGAAGCGGATAGCTCCTTTGTCCACTTGCTGCATTGGCAGGAAAAACGGATCTGTGAAGATAAAAAAAAACATAAGTAAAGACTTATTATAAAAATCTAGGCACACGGTAGTGTGTGCATAATACACAAGTAAAAAAAACGAGCATGTATGAAGAGACTGAAGGGAGTTGGTGTTGAGTTCCATAGTCTCTGCCTACCCCGGCGGGAGACAGGCGTGACGATATGTATGTAGAAAAAAATTATATCAGTCGGAGGTAGTATTCGTAATTTAAGAATTACATGATTTGCTACGTTTCTGATGTCTATCAGCCTGCAACAAAACGTTTACGTTTACGTTTAATTTATATTTATTGAGAGTGTAATTTTTCGTAACTCTTTTTATGCTACCAAGTGGCGGGACGACCAAGTCGTGTGCCTGGTGGTAAGTGACATGCCCGCCATAATAGTTACAATCCCACTCAGACCTTTCAATCGCAAAGATCTGCGGGGCACTGCCACGACGCCCATCAACCTTAAACATAAGTTGACAAGTCTCACGTGCCTATTATTTCACCAGCACGGCGACAGAAACAGGTAAGGTGGTACTTCCCAGGGGGCCAATCGCGCTAATTGTCAAAGGTTTAACCAAAACCTCCAACCTCGCCAATCTGACACGTTGTGTACATTTCGTATCGCGCTAACTGTCAAAAGAAAAACCTAAGCCAAAACTTAGACGTGTGACACGTAACGCACATTTGGTATCGCGCTAATTGTCAAACGTAAAACCAAAACCTAAAATGTTGCAAATTGGTATCGCGCTAAATATTTTGACATTTTAACCTCACATGTAACCTTGGGGGAATAGATTAACCTTTGCAAGGTCAAGGTTTGTGTGGCAGTTAATGGAGAGTAACTTTTCACTACGTTTATCGTATATAAAAGATGTTCCACGGTTACTTAAATGTTTTGGAAAGTGTTTATGAGGTGGATGTGGCCTAAGAACGGGCTTTAAATAAAAGAAAAGCATAAAAAGACGATCACATTTAACATGTCTGAGGAGAAATTCCGCAAACGATATACCATTTGTCCACGGAATTCATTTCAGGATTGGTGGAAGAACTATGCCTACATATTCTCGTTAAAGGACGGTCTGTTGCATTGGATGTGGAGACAAAGGTAAGGGTTAAGTGGAATCCGATAGTTCTCAGTTTTGCATAATAACCAAAATGTCTATGCTGTGTAAATCATTATTAATTTTGTTACAGATTTTAATAGCTCGTATTGTTTTTACGACTGGGGCGTACCTGTGACCCTCAATGGCAAGTGCTTATCACCCGTTCCCAAGCCAGTGTCAGAAAGGCACAAGCGGTAGCTGCTTCAAATAAACCAGTTATTATGAATAAATATGCAGCTTTCCTAAAAGGCATGCCGAAAGAGATGGTATTAAAAGGCGGTGAGAAAATAAGCTTTACAATGTACATCATATTTATTAGTTCTTGTCTTATTTCCTGTTATTATTATCAAATAAAAATTACAGATATAGGTAAAATATGTATAGTTGTATAAAAATATATTACAAGGTTACAATTTATCTCTTTTAACACTTGACTTTATACAACATATCGTCCCCTTACAGTGAAGCCTCACATATGCATTTTCAGTTTGTTTTTACTGATTTTTGTTGAATAAAAATTAATAATGTAATAATATAGTATCTAAAAGAGGTATAATTTAAGTAATTAAAATGCTAACTACACACATTATTGCATTTACTATACTTCACACCATATTTTTATCTTCATCCTAAAAAATTACATAGAAATATGTGGTATTCATTCTAAGATGACGATGTATACCTATTGTAATTGTTTATTATCTTAATATCTAAATTGATGTATACTTTTAAGAGGTTGAAATAAAAAAAAGAGTGTATTTTTAGTTTATTTATTGCCTCAATCTACCCCAAATCATCCTTCATTTCCAGAGCGAGCTTGCTTTTGATTCTTCAAAGAAGTCTGAAACAAAAATATGTATATAGTAAGATTGGAGACCTAAATTTAAGACTGTGCCATACCTCTCATGAGAGTAGTGACAGATAAAGCAGGATGGGTATTTATGTACATACAGTATGAAGCCAACATAAACGCCAGAATGTTTAGGGGCCTTTTCAAATTACATTTAAAAAAATGTTTATATTAGACCTTCGTTCCTTACGCTCTTTCAGATTTCCACAATTGAACATATCATCAGCAGGAATTAAGAAAACATGTTGAAAACAAACCTGTCATTCTTGTTAAATAGTCTATCAAAAAGGTTAACTGCAGGCACCAACTCGGTAATTGCTTTGCAAATGGCAGCTACGGATTGGGCATGCAGATCATCTGCTTTGGCAGAAATAATAGCTGCCTCAGCCTGCACCCTGCCAGCATTCACTTGCTGCAAGAATGCTTTGCATGCTCGCTGCTCCTCAGTGCATAAGAATTCTACCCGGCTCTGCGCCAACGCTCATCAGCTCGCTGTCAACGAAATAATAGATGTGATGGAATAAAGAGTGGGAAAGAATTTGCTCAAATTGAAAGTTACTTTGTTTTTTAATTAATAATAAAGAGTGAGAAAGTTACTTTGTTATTGAATTGTATGTTTGAAGTTATTTTGTGCTAGAGTTGGTGTCCTTTAGGAAGGTTGGTAGGGCCTCTGCCGCAGTCGATGTGGCGTAGATTCTCACCCTGCTTTTCATACCATTCCATACCTAAATAACAATAATAACATCGCATATTATAGTGATATGAGTTCTGGTACAATAACGGTGAGTGATCCACTCACTGTATCCTATTACCTCGCATTATAGCTCACCTTTTGGGATCTATTGCGGGGCCACAAAATAGCCACACACTCGCACCAAAGGCGTGCTGATAACACGCGCGAACAACGCCGAGCGAAGTCATTTTCAAGCCAAATCTCTGTGCGATTCGAACTCCAGCAAAGATGGAGCTGGCTTACAGTGGTCGCTCGCCGTCCGACCGCATCCACACTGGCTGAAATACGAGCATCATTATTAATTCTACATTGCTAACATTTCGAAATTAATAGTAGTTAGCGTACCTATTTGATTGTATAAAAAGATACTATTTTATTAAATAGAATATTAAAAAAGGAAAACAATGTGTAGGTACTTGCCTCTGCGTGTTTTATCTACAACAACAACACACTAAATTCAATTAATTTGGTTCAAATCACAACACATATGTTTGTTTACAATAGAATTTAATGACATTTCTTTTACACACTTTTTTAAATCGCTCTTTTATAGACTTGAATTCGTAGATATTGACATTTCAGTGCGTTTTACGGTAAAATTTAGTCGGTTTTAGGAAGTCAAGGCACGTCTCTTAAAATTTAATACGAGGTTATAGTTTGAGGTTAATTTGAGGTTTAGGTTCATTAAAACTGATAGCGCGATTGCATTTTGTGCGTCGGTAGAACCATTAATTAACCAAAACCATAACCTCAAATGTTGTAAGGTTAAACCTTGCGAAAATAGCGCGATTGGCCCCCTGGACGACCTCTTTCACAATTAGCTCAGCTGCTAATAAATTTCACCCATGGTAATATAACAATAACATTCCAATTTTCAAAATAAACGTTAAAAAGCGTTTATACAGTGGAAATATTTACATAACCATGCTTCGACAGTTGTTGTGCAAATTAAATAACTTTTTATATTTTTTTTTTATAAAAGTTCGCGGAATTACATCTATTTGCCAACTTTTATTGAAATCGGTTACCGGAAAGTGCGAGAAAATGGATTCATTCCCTAGTTTGCCTAAGAGGTGGAATATTTTCTTAAAATTTAAATGGGACCAATATTGAGGTATCCTCTTTCCAACAAAAAAGAATTATCAAAATCGTTTCACAAATGACGGAGAAGTCGCATAACAACACACACAAAAAAATACAGTAAAAAAAAACCTCCTTTTTGAAGTGGGTTAAAAAGACCTTTGTACAAGACTAGAATTATGTCCCCATTTATTGTCATGAGAAAAGTACCTCTACCATGAGACTACAGTGAGAGTTCTCGTTAGCGACCACGTAAAATATTTAGTAACAAAATGTTGTTTCTTCTTGTGACCGCTAGAGGCGCTGTATAATTTGCCATACAAAATTGTGAAGTAATTTACGCGATAGCTAGCGACAAGTGTCTCGTGGTAGAGGCACTGAGGGCCTATGTACAAATCGTGGACACATCAATTCTATTTTCTGATTCAAATGTTTCAGTAACTTTGATCATAAGCCAAGCCTCGGAGCCAAGTTCTGTATAACGAACAAGTAGGTCTGTCGGCTTTAAAAGAGTTAGTCATGCTTAGGCTGCTACTAGACAAAGATGTTACACACTGATGTTGTAGTTTATCACTGTATTTAGAACATTTGAAGAGACCAGGGAAAGAATTATCAAAGTCATTTAAAACACGTTTTGTGTTAATACCGCCATTCAGTTCGGTATCAGCATATTTTGCCTAAATCAGAAAAAGAATAATAAGGTTCAATGTCGTGAAAAATAAACATTTACTTTCAGTCGTAAAAATGCTCATGACTAAAAGGTAGAAAAGTTAAAAATAATTTAGAAATGTTTTTAGTTAAAATGGAATACATAGCGTTATTTACATTTATGTCAGCTTTGGCTTTATTTCGGGTAGTATTTATGCGTGTCGTTACACCAATATTTAAAAGATCCACAAATTTGAAATTATATTTTACCGAAATTCTCCTCAAGTAACTTTGATCATTTTTTCCGTCGACTCTTCATTTATTATTAAGGAAATAAACATATCACTATCGAAATACTCAATTTTAATTTGTCAACAAATTCACGTACGTAATCCCCAATGGTAGGCGCTGTATATTAGCTTAAGTGAAGCTAGTAGAGAGGCGGTGTTCCTACAAAGATTGCTTTTATTTTTTATATATTTATTAATCAACAAATTAAACAACAAACAAATTAATGTTCATCAACAATTGTTACAACAACATTATAAGTGGTTTCTATGGCAGGGCTAAGTACTATACTGATTGAACAATTTAGTGAACACAATTAAGTAGTCCGTGATAGATATGTACTCGATTCGTATTTATGGATACATTTCGATACTCAAAAAGTAACAAAAATAAATAAGCATAAAGTGTAATACTAGTAACAATCTGTGCCTAAAGCTTGTATTAAGTTAAAAAAAAGAAAGAATAATCTCAGTACAGAGTACTAAAAAAACTGACCTTAAAAGTCATTCATCCCCTAGTTCGCCACTCTAAGAGGTGGATATTTTATTAAAATTTAAATAGGACCACCACTGATGTACCCTTTTTCCAACAAAAAAGAATCATCAAAGTCGGTTCACAAATGCTGTGAGTTATCGCGTAATATACATACAAAAAAATCACATAGTCGAATTGAGAACCTCCTCTTTTTTTGAAGTCGGTTAAAAATAACTGCCTCCGTGGCCGAACGGTTACCATGCCGGACTGCCACGCAGAGGTCCCAGGTTCGATTCCCGGGCCGGGAGAAATATTTGTATGGCCTACAATTATTTCTCTCGTGAGTTTGGGTGTAATTTGTGGTTGTCTATGTGTGTGTCCATGGCACCCGCGACACAGGGTTTCCCTAGTGCGGGGCTATGTTGAGTGTGTGCGTTATTTATTTTATTTTTAAATAGGTCACGATGACATGATAGACTTACGGAATTTAAACAATGAATCATGAAATATATCTAGATTTCGAGATTAATATTCATGCTAAGATGATTATAGTATAAGCTGCATATTGTTAAAGGAATTACTAATGTTCCGGACTTGCAAATTTGTACTATATTGTAACAATCAATCTGCTAAGCAGCTTGCTCTTGGTAAAGTGCATCACAAAAGGGGCAAACATATTGAAGTTAGATATCATTATGTTAGAGATATGGTAGATCGATTCAATATTGAAATTTCCTACATTCCTGTTGAAGTAATAAAATGGTAGTTGATGTTTTTACCAAGCCTAGTGGTGTTGAGTAGGACATGAAATTAAAGTGAGTTTGAGGGAGTATCTCATTTAAAAAATTAGGGGCGGTACAATGTCCTACTTCAAATGAGGTGAGGTGGTGGTAAGAATGTTTGCACCTACGTCAATGACCCAACAGACGAGGAATATTAAGCTCATTTTATTACTTGATGGTATCAATCAATTGGATAACTTAAGTGTTATGATACAGTATAAATAAATGCAAAAAAAAGCGAATGGTATAAACGAGTTGCCTCGTGTATGAGTAACTCTACACTAAAGCCTAGTAATTAATAAAAAAAAAACAGGCAACTTGGCGTGATGGACTGATGATGCCCAAGTTATGTGGGGTTGTTAGAATATAACGCTGGCCGTTACCATTTTAAATGTCAAATGACTGTCGTCCTCGCTAGCGCTTGCTTTGTTTTTCAGGAAAACATATCAGGGTTTAGACATAAATGATTATCGTTTTTAACACTGTTATTCACTCTATTGTATTCTCAATTCGTCTGTATGTTTTTTTTTGTATGTATGTTACTCGATAACTCCGCCATTTGGTGAACCTTTATTGTATGTATGTATTGATCATTCTTTTTTTGTTGGCAAGAGGGTACCTCAGAAGTGGTCCCATTTAAATTTGAAGAAAATATTCCACCTCTCAGTGTGGTAAACTAGGGGATGAATCACTTTTGAGGTCGGTTTTTTTAACCGGGGGTTAGGTTATATAAATAATTAAAAATGTTATGTCATTAGTCATTACAAAAGAAAATATTTTAATATTGTCCAAATGATATAAATCGGGCGCAAAAAAGTTTACCAATCGTGTTTTTGTTTTACCACTCTCAAGCAATCATTACTTTTTGCCGTTACTATTAAAGATCAAATTGTTTCAGACACAAAAATAATCATATATTCTCTTAAGAACATCAATTGCTACTTTGATTCTCTGACTATCGTTCATATCGACTGCAGCTGAAGCTTGCACTTGAAGTCTCGACTGCCTGCATTAATTGTAGACATGTAGTCTATCTGTAGGCATCCTTAAAATCTAAGTGGGGTGCCAACTTCAATTATAATTACTAGAAAGTTTACTAACAGAAGTATACCTATAACAATCGTGTCAATCTGCGAATCTACATGATCATACCAATCTATTTGTTTAAAAGTGTCTAAACCAGAATTATTATCTTACATTTATGTAACAATCGCAGTGTAGGCATCCAGGGTCCTTCGCGTTGACGGAAGAACAACAGTTCGCCTGCGCTGTTCACCATGATCTCAATGTGGTCGTGACTGAAAATAAGGTAATGAAACCATGTTATTAATTATTATTATCCTTGAGTATATAGCACATGTTGCAAACTAAGGACTCTTACACATAAAGAACCTCAGTGGTCCCATTTAAAGAACAAAATATTCCGCCTCTAAGGGTGCCAAATTGGAGGATGACTCCAGTTTATTGGAATTCGCCCACTTTCTGTTAACTGATTTCAATAAAGCTTGGCAAATAAATGTAATTCCACAAACTTTTGAGGACGGTTTTTAATTAAAAAAAAGTTATAATTTGAAATAAACTGTAAGGGGCTTGAAATGTTGATGTGTTTGAAACATAACTATTCTCGATTTAAATTCCGAAAAAAATAGTCTCATTTCCAACAATAAGCGATTTTCAGTAACTTCATCATCTGTTTTTAACTTCATCGATCCGTTAACTTGAATGTTAAGAAAGTAACCAACCCGGTGTCACCAACTAACCACCTGCTTAGTTAATCTAAAAAAAAGCAGGTTCCTTTGTTAAAAACTTTTTGCATAAATCTTTTTTTCCAATCTTCTCCTTTATCTTCAAATTATTGCAATTCAATTTAGCTCTCTTCCATAATGCGACGCAGTATTCGATCGGACTTCCTCATTCAGGCATTGCCACCGCCCTCAGGACGGTCTATCTATTCTAAGTTTCTCCAAAATATATATTATAAATGCAAAAGTAATTTGGCTTTGTTGCGTTTTCACACCTGAACCGCTGAACCAAATTTAATGAATTTTGGTATATCTCTACACCAAAATTGAGACGGGACCATTGACTTACAAATAAATGGACGACGGGTCTAATACAAAAACCACGAAAAAAATGTCCCAAGTCAACCTATTCGAAATTTAAATTGTAATGTCATCGCAGTATCGCGCTGTCAGTCGAACAAATGAAGACTAAAGCGGAGTTTGGCGCTCTGTATACGATTTTAGCGCCTTACAAGTGCGGACACTTTTTAGCGCGGACCCGACGTCCATATAATTGTAAGTCAATGGACGGGACCTATGAAAAGAACATAGGCTACTTATTGTCACAAAACTTAATTGTATAGGGGATGAATTTTATATAGAGAACCAATCATTTCGAGACGAAGTCAAGAGGACCAGCTAGCTATATAACTGTGTATGTATATTTTGCTAATGCATGCTCAGTGGTAGTTAGAACTTGTGCAATTTCCGGCCCGACCCAAATAAACAGGTCAGTGACCTACCGACAGCTAATGACGCAACCTTTTATAAGGAACAAACATAGCAAATTATATAATGCAATGACATCCTAACTTAAATTACAAAAGCGAAAGTATGTCAAAACGCGCGTGTACAAAATCAGTAAAAAAAAATCACCTTACTTGCTCAGGTAATAAGGTTTCACTTCGTATAATGGTAGATGGTCCCTCAGCGCCCTAATCATTTTTACTTGAAGGTCAGACTAACTTTCAGTGTGAAATGTCAAATACTATACTTATTCGAACACCATTAAGGGACTTGGAAACATAAGATGGGGACCTATAGGTTTTTTCGAACTTTGAAACAGGTAGATTTTTTTATGATATCTACAAGTGACGGTACGAACAAGTCGTGCCGTGCCGCTCAGAGCTTTAAATAGCAAGTATCGAAGGGGCACTGCCACTGCGCCCTTCACCCTGAGACATAAGTTGACAAGTCCCATATTGGTAGCGCGGAAGTTTGCGGAAAAACCACCGGAACAACATGAGGTGAGTTCCGGGGTATGGAGACCCTAGTGAGGAAGGTCCCTATAGGGTCTGACGGCGGTGGACTGTAATGAATTAGCGGGAGAGGAGAAAGCGACACGCCTTACTTTTATTTCCGAAAGGGGTTCTCTTCTTCTCAAATGAAAGTTCGCAAGTGACATAACTTTAAATATTAATATCCTTTTTCGTTAGCCTTTTCTCCTTTTTTTGTGTATATTTGGCTTCTCTCCCTTTATTTCTTTCTTCTTCTTTTAAATGTTATGGCTCCATCGAAATAAATTTTATTTTTCATCTGTCAATGTCTTCTATTAATTTTATTCATCTAATTAATTTGGTAGGCGTGCGCGAAGGTCACGGGGAAAGTTTGACACAAAGAAGATTTTGTATGAAAAATATGTGCGAGAGGGATGCGTGTATGAAGATGAATGAGGAAGACGATAACACATACGCCTGTAATTTCTTCCAAACCGGAACGCAGTAATGCACCCTTAGGTACATCATTACTTACCTTTTTTAAATTTATTTACTCATAATACACAGAATACTTAATCTATACTTATCAGTAAGACTCCTTTCAATTACCCTTTAAAGGTTTATGCGAAGGGAGAACGCATCGCTTTTGTTACGATTTTACATAGCCAAGTAATACTTTTTTTGTTTGCATTTCCTAACATTCATTAACATATCTACACGGACCTGCACAGGTATCTTATTTAGAATGTCAGGCAATATGTGCTCCACGATCCTCATACCGTATGCGTTAGTACTTCTAGGCAGTTGATACGTAGTGTAGTCTAGGCTCTACTCTATGAGTAGAATCACTGGCTGAGTGAATATAGTTTTGTATTTAGAATGTGTTTGAAAAAATGAAATAAAAAGAATAGAACATCTGGAGAGTTCGAAATGTAACCTGAATTAGAAAATATGTGAAAAAGTACAATAAACCAAGTTTTGAAGATTATCCCAGTTTATATTCACAAAAGTACCTCTCGCTATGCATCCTAAGCTACGCCCCAGCTTACAGTAGGTAGCTACATTAAGGTAGGTAATCGATTTTGCCTACTCATTTTTGTTAAGACACTAATATTTTCGCATTTGTCTAATATTAGTAACAGGTTTGATATGTCAAATTGGATGAACTCTTACACAAAGAACTCTACAAGTACTAAAACTTCTGCTTTCAAAGTGTATATACGTATAGGATATGAAATTTGAACGACAAACTGATTTTCAAGTTAAACTTTTAGGCCTCCGTAGGGTAGGTACGTGTAATAGTGGAAGCTACAGTGGAAAAGACTTGGGTATCACTAACTGGAACTTGGTTATTGGCAACAATGCAATGTATAAATTGTAGATTACGAATGCGAAATCGTACATAAGTGGGTTATAGTCACAACAGTCCCACATTGCATCAATCGGTCAACATGATCATCAACATTCCACTGCTGGGCACGGGTCTCTTTAAAGGTGGATTTAAGTCTTTATTATGATACCAAATGACGAGACGATCAAGGCGTCCGCCTGGTGGTAGGCGTCGCGCCTTTCCCTAACAGTTACAGCCACTAAAAGCTTTAAATCACAAAGATCTGAGTGGCACTATTAGTGCGCCCGTCATAAGCTGACAAATCCCATGTGTCTGTAATTTCACCAGAATAATTTTTACCCTTCAAAGTCGGAACGTGGTAATACTCACATTATTCCTTGGCGGCAGAAATAGTAAAGGTAACAGTACTTCCCTGGACGAGCTCTTTCACAAGGAGCCTACTGTCGTAGTCGCCCAAGCAGGCTTAATGCAGTTTGGGGATTTTATACTTTTGTGGAACTTCTTCAACATAGATAGACAACCCGTTTATTTGCTGAATCACAGCACATTACAAACAAGCTCATGACTTAGGTACAATGGTAATCATAAAGATAAAGACTAGTCTAGGTGTCCGTGGGTATTTATGGTCTGGAGTGTTATGTTGTGTCAGGTGTAGAGTTGAGTGTATTGTGTCAGGAAAAAGGGCCCGACTCAGGATTATGCCGCAGTTCATTCGAACTACGGTTCAATAGGTATATAGTTTACGATAATATAGGTTCAAGTCAGTAATAATTAACTGCACTAGTATATATATCGATATAGATTCTAAAAAAACTTAATAGTGCATGCCTGCCGGTGGAAATCGAATCCAGGAGTTCCTAGACCAGAAGTGAATCCTTTTATGAACTAAGTTATCATTGCAATATTATTTTATATTCTTACCATTTTACAATCCTAAAAGTGTCTTTCTTGGGCAGGACCTGGTCGATGTAATTCTCCAGGTGAGGGTAAAGCTCTAACAAACGCGCCCTGATGCCCTTTTGCACTGAAGATTTCAGCTGCTGAACTCCTGATATGCTCTCCTTTTCATCGAATCTAGAAATTAATAACAAACATAGTGAATTCGCTAGATTTTACAACATCCGCACGAAGTTAGTCTATTTACCATTTAATTTAAAAAGTGATCTGGTAAATAAAATTATCCTCCTAAGACCCAGAAAAAAATACAATTGGAAAAGCTCTAAACGGTAATTATATGGTCATTTAGATATACTAAATATATACACTAATAATAATAATAATAATGCACCCACTCATAACCCCGCACTAGGGAAACCCTGTATCGCGGGTGCCATGGACACACACACATATACAACCACAAATTACACCCAAACTCACGAGAAATATAAATGTAGGTCATACAAATATTTCTCCCAGCCCGGAATCGAACCCGGGACCTCTGCGTGGTAGTCCAGCATTGTAACCATTCGACCACAGAGGCAGTTATAATATAATTACATGCTTCACGCCCAAACATGAAATGCCCTCAGTTTTGTATGAAAAACGTATTTTTACATACCATATGGTCATGTATTATATTATATTGTTATTAATTTTTTATGCTATCAAGCGATGGGACATGCGTCTGATAGTAAGCGACACGCCTATCCATAACAGTTGCAGTGCCACTCAGTTTTAAATCTAGATCTGAGACATAAGTTGACAAGTCCCATTTCCGTGTAATTTCACCAGCACCATCGCCCTTAAAAACCGGAACGCAGTAATGCTCACATCACTGCTTGGCGGCAGAAATGGATAAGGTGGCAATACTTCCCTGGACAAGCTCTTTCACAGCCGGACTGCGTCGTGGTGAATGTGCACCGACCCCACGGCGCCGACTCAACCGGCGGGAGGTAAACCCGGGGGGGTTTTAGTGGGGTAGGCCCTCCAGTCTGGAGGGAGAGTCCCCACAAAACCCCTGAGTCTCCCTGGGCTCAGGGGTAATCTATAAAGACCCCCCCCCCCGTAACCAAAAATAGGTACTCTCGACAGAACGTCACTACATACCACGGTTGGTACGAGAAGCCATCGAGATCACGAAGTACAAAACATTTAACCGTGATGATGGTTTTAAACCATCCAGTGCATGGAATCCGGTCCTTAGTGCGTGCAGTAATAAAAACAAAAACATCTCGAGTTCAGTTTCGCATGTGGATAAAGTGAGTGTGGTTTGTGTGAAAAAAGTGAGTGATTATGGTAACGCCACAACAAATCGCGATGAAGGTAGTCGTCGACAGCGCAAGAGGGTAGACAGATACGTTTGCTCTTAAAGGTGTCATCTGCCGCCGTCCAGTCAACCCGTGACCATGGAGCGTGCAACCATTCCGATATATCGGGAAAATAAAAAGAAGTCATACCGTGGTAAGAAACCTGATATTAGTGATAATCATTTAGTGAATAACCACAAAAGTCTTAAAATCTACATACTAAAATTTTCATTTTATTATAATATACATACCTACCTACACTAGACGTTTAGGTGATCATAGGAATAATATTACGTACATTTCCATGCATACAGGGCCTTAGGAAGTTGTGAAAAGCACACCAACCAAAAGACAGTCAGATTTTGTAGAAAATGTCCACCGGCGCTTATAAACATTTGCGGTAAGATTTTTCCGAAATATACATATAATGTCATCACTATGGAATTAACTGTATGTGTAAAATAGTACAGGTAATATCAATATTAGGTCTCAAATGTTTAAATAACTTTGAGGTAATATAAACATCCATATTCCACTAAAAACAAAAAAAAGCTAAGAACAAACAAGTTGATCCAACGGCTGCGAATGAAATCTAAGTTAGTATCAACTTTAACTAAAGTTACAAGACTTTCCTACAGAATATAAAACAGTAGTGACATTTTGCAAATGAACGGTATTGTACCCATCTATTGGTATGTAATTTGCAAATATCTTATAATCCTTTGTGTGGGAAGCCTTTTGCTGTAAAAAAAATATATGCGAAAAAAGAAAAATTCTTGCCTGCTTACTACAAAATCGCTAAAATGATTCATAATTCATGTATTTGTGAAAACACAGGTTGTATAAAAGTTGACATGTGCAAAGTAAGTATTTTATTTAACATATTACTAATTAAGCATATTTTTAATGAAAACTGGTGACAGACTTTTTTGATGACAGAGATTTGATGTTTGAAATACATATTGTAGACGATAAATGTACAAATGTTTATTTACAACGACCAATCTCTAGAGTTTCTTGCTCATTCTTCTTACGCCTGAGCAGTACTCTGTCTTACGAATGAGTAGTAGAGTTTAATCAATATGGCGATTTCAAGTGTAATTTGTTTATCAATGAAATTACGAGTATTTGAATTTGACTTTGAAAGTAAAGTTTCACAGTGTTCGGCCAAACATTAGACATACAAACCCATTGAAGCCACGTGAATAGAACAAAACCAGGTGTAATATTTTTTTTTAATAATATCACATCTGCGTGTACAAATTGGATTTAATAAATTTTAATCGATGATAGTAATAAGTGTTAATTTTAATGACATGTTTTATACTTTTATCTTATAAACAAATGACAAGTCTGTGAAAAATATTCGAGTTAAAAACTGAAATGAAAGCTGAAGGCTCTTAAACCGTACAAATGAGCTAAGTAGCATGTCGGGGGGGCGCCCAGTAGACACCGATGTCGCGTCGGCTCAGGACATAACTGGAGACTTCCGCTCAAAGGGTCTTCTTTGGAGCGAATCAGCGTGAAATGTTCCCGATAGCGCGAAAACACTGAACGGGCTTTGCGTACGAGTATAGGTACGTTGGCGAGGACGCTTATTCTGTGTGAAACGTATTTGAGTAGCGATGTAGTCCACTGGTCTTACCAGTGTGGAGGGGGCCCTTTTTTCTACTCTTTACAGTACATATATTAATAAAATTAACAAAATGTATGCTTGTTTGAGAATACAGCTTATGCCATCTAGCGGTCCATTATTGAACTTAGAATGGAAGTTCTCTATGTTCTATTCAATTTCGTCCTCGACATACGTTTTTCGAATTATGTACTTTATAAATAACTAATCAATCGCCCAACTCCGTCTCTACATTTAAGATTCTATTTATTTACTTATTTATTAAAGAAAATTAACGATACAATTAAAATATACGTACTATAAGTATATTTCTATATACTTAAAATTAACTCATAATAATAACAACTAAGTAAGTTTCTAAGCAAACAGAAGTAATCTAGAGTTTGACGACGAGATTATGATTACAGTATTTTTGCGCATGAGCGTTAAAAGTAGCCAGATATTCCGACTTAAATATCTCGTCAACTGTTTCATCTTATTTTATGAAATTAAGATTCTGATAAAGTTTTTAATTAGATAAACAAAATTACTAGAGTCAACGTTTAATTGATTATGAATGAAGCACGCATCCTCGCTACGTATATCATCAAACAATGTACCTACTTAATTAAGGTAAACCACACGTAATAAAAACCTAAACAAAACGAGGAAAATTGACTTAAGTACATAAGCAATACAAATTAATCAGAATAATGAGTTCTAGAGAATTTCTATAACAGTCTCGTTATTATAAAGCGAGTTACCAGGAGTGTAATGTTAATCTTTGGACTCGTTATTTTACAAATAAACATCCCTATTGCAATGTAAAGATAATATCGGCTTAGATTGTATTTAGAACCCTTTCCAGTCACGTGAAATTGCTAAGCGCTAAGTCACTTATTGCAATACAACACCGTACATTTCAAGGGCTTCTACGAGTACATAATCATGTGTATCCTCCACGAAACACGTGAAACATGTACAGGGTCAGGTCGGGGAAGAGGGACTGAGATTAGCATTATAGCGTCTCAGTCGATAAAAAAGATAAACAAATTAGTTTAAACGATTTTGAACAGATGTCGCTACGACTCTTCAAATCCAAAAGGAGGAAAAACAAAGACAGTTGTGAAATTTTGAGAACACGAAATAACAATGACTGTTCTTCTTGCTCCATTTTTTGGGGGAAAATAAGAAACGTTAGCACAATTTGACGTATTCGGCAAATATATCGTACCTAATTGAATGTAGCGTATGATTTTTAAAACAATCTGATAACCAACGGTAAGTTTAGTGTACTTCATAATTCTAACAAGGCTTTATTTGTTCTTCTTAGAGCTCAAAAAATTACGCTCAAAATAAAGTAAGTATGTTCCTATTACCCCACCTGACTACCCATACTTTATGGGACGGTGTTCGTGTAGGTTCAAACTACGTAAAGAACGTGAAGTTAAAAAAAGTACAATTAAAAAAAGAAAATAAATCTTATTATTCATTATTATAACATATTATACGTTTGATTAGTGGTTTATGCATCTTTATTCAACATATACGTATACGAACATGCTGAAAACAAATGTACAAATAACTTTTATGATTTTTTAAATATGCCAAACAAAACTAATGTTTATCGCAAAGCGTGTTAAACGAATGAATTATGAACAAAACCAAAATAATGCCCTTGCAACAACGCAATATCGATATGCCTGGATATTTATGTAGCGATCCACATATAAAGATATCTATGCCATTATGTGGAGTTAATTTTTTTTCATGATGTCAAGGGACGAGACGAACAAGTCGCACGCATGGTGGTAAATTTTTTCATGATGTCAAGTGAAGGGACGAGCAAGTCCTGCGCATGGTGGTAAACGACACGTCTATATTTATAACCTGTGACGATGCGACCTCCTCCATCATCATCCCACCTTTTTATTACCTTTTCTCTGGTTCCTGGCCACTAATTTTTCAATTCTGAATCGTTCTTTGATGCTTTTGCCTCGTCATTCTCACTTTGTTTCGTTCCGTTGTCACTCTCTACCTAATGTCTGAAGCGAGCACTCCTGCTCGTGTTCACCAGAAATTCTGATCTGTTTTACCAGTTTGCAATTAAAATCATGTAACCTAACTAATATTTGTAGAAAATACGGCCCTTTTAGTGTAAGTTCTTTACTGTTTCACATATGATTCGTAGAATTTAAGTAGGGAGTGTTTTTGAT